GCACAAAAATTATAATATAATTATCCCACCAACATGTTTTCTACTGCAAGTACTAACAGCTTATCAAAATCCTAAACAAAATCAACAGGAGCTGCAACATTATGCAAATTTGCAAGTGGAGCCTAGGTATACAAGGGCAGGATTCTTTCCTACTTTTCTCCTGACTCACTGAATACAGATTCAGATGAAGTGTAACAAACTTGACTCCCAAACAGTGTTCAATCATGGAACTAATTCAGACTAGCATTTGTCATTCAACGTTTTCCTCACTTTCACAGGGAGGAGTTGGAATATGAAGGATATAAAGACAAATGGGGCTTTTATTTTAAACAAAAAGAACTGCCTATGCTAACTACACAGAAATTGAAAGCTTTGTCTATATATTCATACTTCACCTATTTTTCGAACACTGTTGTAATCTATGTTGTGTTGTAACTAAAGTGGTTTAAATGCCTCTAAAATGTTTTCCAGACAATCAAAAGCCATTGGTATGCATTCTGCCATACAAACTTCAAAGCACACAGGTATCATTTGGTTTATTTTGTGGTTCAGCTATCTAATGCACTCTTATAACTGAACTTCTATTCATTCTGCATTTCCTTTCATCCTTCCTTGACAGGTTAAAATTGTAATCATGGTGTTCTCATAATACAAGAAACATATCACCTCAGCTGCTGAAGCAATATCCTTGCTGTATGGAAGTTCTCTGTACATCTCTGAGCTTTGTATATGCAAATAGCACATCGTTTTACTACTGCTTCCTAAATATACTGTTCTGAGTCAGTATTCCTTGGATTTGATATGAAAGTTCCTCACTACCTTATGCACATATCAAGGTACTGTCATCATAAAGAAGATACTAGCGCCATTATTTCTGACATCTTTTTTGAGATATTTCTCTTACACAACATTGTCTTCTGTAATACTTTTTGCTATATTCTGTCCAATACGAGTATCTGGTTTTCAATTTTTTGAAAGTAATGCATTTCACCTTTAGAAAAGGAGTTTCACTAGCTGGATTCTAAGCATGAAAACAAATTAGGAACTGTAGTGCTACCACAAACTCTTGATGACCATTTTACAAACACTGTTTCATGTCATACTTCTTCCACACACAAAGATGCAACAAATTACTAGTACATTTTAAAAACAGACCTCACATTCAATGCACTTTCCTTATCAAATGTACCTCATAAGTCATAAAAATACAAGGCAAGCTAATTGTTTGGTTGTATGTTTTAATATTTTAGAAGATCAATGTTTGCAAAAGAATAAACAACAATAATAGCAGATGGTGGCCAACATGAATAGCGTCACTCTTGATCATCTGTGCATAATAGAGTTGCATAAAAGGCACAAAGAATGGGAAATAGGGGAGAAGTGATCCTTCATGGAATGGTATTTGTCTAACATTGCTTTTCCACTTAGCACAGAAAGCATCGGCCTCAATTAGAATCATATGCCTCTGAAAGCAAACCCGAGAAAAGAGCTTCCAGGCAAAATAAAACACAGTTGCAAAGTAGACAAGATTAGAGAATAAACTTCCTAAAAATATCTGTAGAAAAAAAATGTTTATTTGTGGTAAGAAATACACAGTAATGCACAGTTTTGGTTGTTACAGTTAAAAGGAAAATGAAATAGAGACAGAAGAAGGGAAGAACTTGGAAACATAATCCTGTCCCACAGGGGAAAGTGGAGAAGACAAAAAAAAGGGGCATCTTAACTACCCTGGGAATATACCCATTACAAATAGTAAACTAAGAAAGTGAGAATGACTGTTATACAAAGTAGTCTAGCTAAACCTGTAAATAGCCTATTAAAAACTAGAATGATCAATTATGATACTTGATACTGGTGTTCCATTATACCAGCAACCTGTTATTTTCAAGTGGTAACAACTAACTATTCCAGTCTAATTCTGCTCTAACACTAATAATCCACATTAGAAAACTGAAAGCCATCTGAACTTGTTGGGAGGTCCAGCACAGGTACTACTAGTGGAAGCAAATGAAAGGTTTACAAACTAAAAACCCCTTGGAAAAACAGAGAAGATACATGCTCATTAGCAATGACGCCGTAATAGAGCAGCACAAGCTAGAAATGTACTATCCAGAATGCACTGAAACATCTACTCCTTTTCCAATCACATGCTTTATTTCATTGCACTCCGGCTAGATCAGCCAGTGACGGACTGTCTTGCATTGTTAATACACGACAGGGAAAGGTAGGCACAAAATGCAGTCATCTAAGATATGACTTCATGGCAAAATGTAGGACTATGCCAAACATATTCTTTTGTAAGCATACATGGAATACTTCCTATTTCAGAGCACAACTGTAGCTGTTTCTTTTCACACATTTCCAAAATCTCAGAAAACAAAATGAATGAAAGAGAGGGCTGTATGAGAGATATCAATAGAACTGATCTCCAACCAAACCAGGCAGTTACAACTCTGTATTTGACGTCTGCCAAGCCCTGGAAAATTCCCAACTTAAAGCTGTTCCAAAAATTTGAACACATTAACAGGTTAATGCCATAAAAGCCATACCAGTATTTTTTTATTGTATAAAATCAGAGTTGCACAAACTTATTCACAAAAATGCTGACACAAATAGCAGGCATTAATCCCCAAGATGGAGGCCATTTCTATCTCAGCTTGTGTTTTGCAGACGGTACACAAACTCATTCCCTGAAATAATAGCCAATTAAAGCAATTAAATAGAAATTTACACAAATCGAGTTTCCTAGAAAACTAAGGCTGGTCCTACCTACCTACCTAAAACCTACCAATTTATGCTAGGTCTGTTTGAAGGTGTTTCTCTCAGCTGCCAGTTCTGCCAGCATCATCCCCTTCGAACAACCCTCAACAGAGACGGGTATCTCCAGGCACAGCCATTCCAGCCCATAGCCTGGCACATGCAGCCAAACTGGTAATTTAAGCTAATATTCTGGGCTGCAAACAAGGATCTCTGAAGCACGGACACCAACTTGTTTGTCATAGGTACTCACTATACCCTTCAAAAGGTGTAGAAGTATTTCAGCACCACAGACTTTCCCTGCGTGCCACTGGCCAATATCCAGATGCTACACGTTTAAACACCACCAGCTTTTTATTCCCATGTAAAAGACAGTGCAACATAAAGCCATTTTTGGTTTCTCTTCACCTTCAGTTAAGCATGATGTGCTTCGTCTGTACATAAAAGCTAACTCAATTGCTTTCAACATGCAGGTGTTAGCATTATAACCTACAATGGTCTCCACATTTAAATAAACTAAAAAATGAGGAAAAAAGAAAAAAAAAAATCTTTTGGATAAACACTCTCTTTAATAAGAGGTTTATAACTAATTCCTTTAAATTACTTTCAAGGAAGCTTCTTCCAAACCCAGTTTTACAAATTTTTCACACAATGTAAGGCTCTAAGATCTTACCAAGAAGTCAGTTTTGAACATCAGCTTCAACAGTAATTTTACTCTTTAAATATCAAGTAGTACGTGTACATAATTTTTGGTAATTACAAACTTATTTTTATTCCACACACTTAACACAAATAGCTAAGCCATCTTAAGCCTTTTTAAGGCCGGAATGAGTTCTTCTACAGATGAAAGTAAGGCTTAAACAAACTAACAGAAGCATTTGCTTCTGTTAAACTACTGTAAACCGAGCCATACAAAAGAGCTTCCAGACCTCACTCTGCATCACCAGAAAACAAGCACACATCGTAGTGAGGCTTCGATGTGAAAGTTAATTCAATTAGTAATATCCCCTGACAAAGCAATTGGTGCCTTTGCAGAAGCCTCCTTTTAAGTCTGGAAAGTATAGAAATAATGAGCATAATGGAAGACCTTCTTTACTAAGCACAAGTTAGCAAGAGTGGAAGTTGCTTCCCATGAGTTGAAATGACTTGTTAAGATAGAAACCTCCTTCTTTCTTTCAGCTCAAATAAGAAGGGAAACACCAAAACCTCAAAGTCCCCTTCTGCCCCCAATATACTCATTCCCAAAGAAAAACACATAATTAACCAAAGATTGAGACAGAAGCATAACTCACTATTGGTAAATGACCTAGGAAGAACATAGTCCCCATAAACTCTCTTTAGTCAACTGGCGATTCTTTGTATTACAGTAGTGACCAAATACGTAAAATCATTATTAGAGCCCAAATACATGCACCTAAATGTTTTACAAGTCCCTGACCACAAATCTACAATTACTATGTTTATAGAAAACCCATCTGTGCAAGGATGGCATTTTCAATTTTTTGTTTTACAAAATTATTTCAAGGTGAATATGGTCCTGGGCAACCTGCTATACTTAACACTGCTTGAGCTGGGGCATTAGACTAGATGATCTTTAGTGGTCCCCTTCAACCTCAGTGATTCTGCAGAGGTGCTGAACAGCATTAAAGAGGTGCAAAATTACCTTGGATTTTATTTCCACTCAAAATACACAAGGAAGGGGTGCATGTGTCTGATTTTCAGGAGATGGAGCACGGAAGTGAGAAGGGACACAGGAAGTGTCCAAATCAAATCCTGTGCTGAAACAGAATGACTGTCTTTTAACTCGGTGCAGCTGTCATTTATAAATACAACCTACAATGTGAAAGAACTATTTTGTTAAGGCTGGAATCAGAAGAACAGTATCCTCTTTCCAGTGTCAACATCAGCAAGCCACCTCAGTTACTCTGCTTGACCTTTGCAAAACTAAGCATTATCCTGAAAGAAAGAACCTAACACACAACTAAGCCAAAATCCTCAGATGAATTAGAAAATGCTGTTTATTGAGTTTCACCTACGCGTTCCCAAGTGTTACAGAGGGCAACGAGCAGAAAAGCTCATTAATCAGCTTTTAGAAGCTTGAAGAGAATTAAGTTATTTCAGGAAATTATACTTAAAACTAGAGTACCACAAGACTATCCCCTTAAGTGGTTTAGTGGTGGACTTGGTAATGTTAATGCTTGGACTGGATGATCTTAAAGGTCTTTTCCAACCTAAACGATTCTATGATTCTACAAAGGGCACCGATTCAGGCTGCATTAAGTAGCGCAGCACGGGCGGCAGGTATTGCTGGCTGCACATCCCCTACCACTTTGCATTCTGATCGCCCCGCTGCCTCCTGCTCTCCGGCTGCAGCAGCCTGGTTTGTAAGAGGCGGCAGGGACGGGAACCGCCCGGCGTCCAGCAGCGCCTTGGCGGAGCGGAGCGGCGCGGCGCGGCGCCGGGAAAGGCTGCGGCACAGGCCAAAGGTCTTTTCCAACCTAAACGATTCTATGATTCTACAAAGGGGCCGGGGGTGGGTGATTTGAGAATGAAAGCTCAAAACCTAAAGTGTGTCTGCCAGCCGCCTGGTGCCAGCCCTCCCCCCGGTAAGGTGGTGCCTGGGCTGCCGGCTCTCGGGGGCCGTCGCTTCCAAAGACTCGGTGGGTTTGGGGTCGTCTTAAGGGTTGCTTACTCTTCTGTGGAGATGGGAGTGAAACATTGATCAGAAAGGAAATGCCTCGCTATCCTTAAATGCTGGCACAACAGCTAGGAACCTTAAAGCCAACACCGAGGAATCCTGGCTGCAGAAGGACAGCTGAGGACGCAAATCGTGCTTACAAGGCTTTCTTCAGGCAGGCTCCAAAAATCTTAAGATTTTTGCTAGTTGCTTCAGATACGACATTAAGTTATTGCACTGATACGGGGAAGATGGACTTTGTTACCTATGGGGAAGATGGACTTTGTTACCTACTCTTTGCCAGATTCCTCGTCCTAATCAATTTAATATGTTTGCATCCTTTCTCAGTATGAAGACCTTGTTTGCTTTAGAGATATCAGACCTGGTGCCCCCCACCACTATCTGGTGGTGCCGGTGGAGCACATGGGAAACTGCAAAACGCTGAAGACAGAACACATACCTATAGGTAAGGCTGTAAGTGTGTGTTTAACTTGAAGGAAAATAAGTTTGCATAGTCTTAAATAGTGTGTTGTCAAGTAAATTATGCCTCTGAGCACCATTTGGTTGTGAACATAAACAGTGAAATAGGTGGTATGAGCGTAGGTAGGAACGTAACCCTTCCTGGGGACTTCCATGTGCTACTCTAGAATAGCACACTCTTTTGTGCAAGAGAAAACCATTTCTAGAGAAAACCATTGCACTAGTGCACAAAATCTCTTTTGTTTGCATAGAGTATAGGTGCCTCTGCACTTTGTTGGAAGTGCAAATTTATTTTTAAAAATATTTATGTCCTGCTTCATTGTGTTTTCTTAGACATATATGCAATTTCAAATTACATGAAAAATTATAGAAGAATTTTATAACATATTTTATAATAGTGCTACGTTATTTTTCAGGAAACAGTAGTAAGAGAAGAAAGAGAGAAATGGTATTCCAATAAACTTCAATAATTTTTGAAAAGATAAAATTCTAATATATTGAAGCTGTGATGTATTGTTGGTAGGGTTTTTTTTTCCTTAAGAAAACAGTGTTGTGGAATTAGTTGTTTCACAAGAAATGCATAGCTAAGTGTGTTATGGAAGAAACTACAGACATACATGCATGAAGAGATTTCACCTCGTGGAAAATTATAGGTGATGCAAGAAGAGAGTTACAGTTGCATGTTGCAAACCTTGTAACACTGGATTTCTCTTCTAAGCATAGGGTAGTTTTCTCCGGAAACAACTTCTATATGTGTTTGGCTTCAAGGCAATTCCTTAGGCGTTTGCCTTGAGTTTTTGTATTCAGGTTGCTTCTCAGTGATACAGTAATGAAACTTTGTCTTAGTAATAAGTAGGACTAAGAATTTTATTTTATTAAATTTTAAATTTGTGTACCGTCTCTGAAACTTGTTAACTTATGCCAGGCTGCACAGGACCTAGAGATCAAAGTCCTGTAGCTGTGTAGAGATTTAACACTGGAATTACTGTAAACGTCATCATTCTGACCAATGGGTATTTGTTGTGTTTTTTGATAAGGGTGTGGTGATACCATGGCTTTGGCCAAAGTTGTTAGAATAATACCACACTTAAAACACCATTAGTGTAGAAATCAGTAACAGTGGTGATTTTCATGTTGGTCATTGCACAACGCTGTCTTGACAATCTTTGTTTGATTATGAGTAGTTACAGTATTTATGTTTTGAAAAACCCATTTTTATGATCTCAGTCTAACCAGTTTGTTGAAGTTAATATTCAAAGATTTTGTTTCTGAAGAATACATTTTTTTAAATTACTTGATGATGTGATATGTAAAATATTACTTAAACATTAAATGGAATTTATTTGCATTTAATAGTGAAGAGAATGATGGAAGTTGGAAAAGCTGTCCTCCAGAGAAATAACTTTAGTGACTTGAATGATATAAGGTATGTAATGGAAATGTCCTGTGTTTACTGAGTATGTTTTTTACTTTTCAGAATGCTATTTTAGAGATGGTGGCAACAACTGCAGTATGATTTATTGAAGAAATCAGGTCTGCATTCACTTATCGCCTGACTTCTCAAGTAGAATGTGCTGGCACTGAATATAAACTCTTTTTTTTCTGGTGAACTTCCAGCGCAGATTGCATTCCAACTCTGAGATTCATTCTTAACCACATCTTGGGATAGGGAGGGCACTTCAAACAACTTATCTAAAAGGCTGCTCTTTAATTATGTGCTGAAAATATGCTCTAAATCCTAGATTCCAGAAGAGAGGTAAACTTTGTCCTATTCACGCAGGGCACTGCATTGTGTTTCAGTCATACCTGCATTCATTTGATTTCAGGGCTGTACCCTTTAGTTTAAGCCAGTGCCTTTGGTATCTGAAGTAAATTGTAACTTAATATAGTGTGTAGGGAACTGGGCCTTCATGATTAAAACAGGTAGAAATGACATTCATCTAGTGACAGTTGGCTTTCCAGGTGAAAACTAGATATGATGCATTTAAAATACATTTTGTTAACCAGGAGGGTTTAAGAAATAAAATGTATCTTAAATACAGAGATGTGAAGGAGGAGATTAATGGGCATTTGAAAAGGTTTCCTGAGAGTGTAATGAAAGGAAAGGGCATATTTTTGTTCCTGCCTTTATGTGCAAGGAAAATGTGATGAGCCGAGTTCTTAATTCAGTTGATCATGTTAAATAACTTGCAATGTTCCGCTC